AGCAGGAATATTCCTGTCTCCCTGTAGATCGTTTATTTTTTGGATATGATTAGTATAATTTCTGGATAATATTTAGGAAACTTTGCATATTCAATCACCTAAAACCTTCATAATGCCCCTATTTAATATATTTTAAAACTTTTAAATAAGTAAATTTACACACTCTGTTTTTCTTATTTATGCGAGTAAATTTATAATTTTTCCTAATAAATTGCCTTCAAATCCCAAAGCTATATTCTTTAAATAACAAGAACCAAACTTTATAATTACTTTTATGGTGAGACACATGCAGTACATGTTTAGTCCAATCGTTAAGGGATAATACCATTTTTTGTGTTCATGTTATTTTCCTTTGATATTTAGAAAATCATATATTAATACATGAACTTCTAAAAAAATTAGTCATAGATAAATATACAAACTATAAAATTTTAAAAAAATACATAAATTCTTATTAACTTCTATATTAAAATCTAAACTTTTAAACCGTTTTCGAAAACCACCATATTATAGTGATTTTTTTGGAGTCATTTAAAATTTTAGAGTTTAATTTCATGGTGTCTTTTGGTGGTGTTTTAAAGTTCAGGATTTAATTTTATTATTTTTTTAAAAAAAATATGTATTTATATACTATTTTACTTTAATATTATATCTCAACACCAAATCTGCATTTAATGTTGATCATGAACAAAATTATTCGATTGTTGTGCATTTCATCTGCTAAGTGAGATGGATGTACCCAAAATCACTATCCGAACAATTAAAATTCGAATAATCTTTTTAACCTAAACATTTGAATTTAGCTTTAGTATTTTTATCTTTAAACACTTAACGAATATCTGAATATATGCAATGTGGCCTTTATCAATAACAGTTATGCTATTAGGGTTTTAAATCACGAAACAATAAGTCCAATCGCTCACGGGTCACGGCTCGTCTCCTCCAAAAACCCTAACACGAATTTAGGTTCGGAATCTGTATGGAATACGAGCCCATCCCTTCCTATATTTAGAATCCTTTCTATATTTAGAACAATCCAAACAATGTTGTTTCTGTAGAAATTTACAGAATGATGTCTTTATTAATAATCAGAATAACATATAAATAGATGAGAGTCTTACATTGAATAAGTAAACTAAATAAAATAATAAATATTTCTAAATATATATTTTCCAGATTTGATAAGATTGATATATCTCGTAATATTCTTTAAGATCCGGTATATCTCAACATCCCCCTTCAAGTTAGAGCGTGGAAGATCACGAAACGCCTAACTTGCTGAAAAGATGATCAAACGCATGCCGTTTGAACATCACCTTGCGAACTTGTGTCGTAGCAGACATAACTAAAAAAAATCAAACAAACGACTGCGCTGCAACTTTGGCATCACGCACAAAAGAATCGTTTGATGATAACAAAAAAAAGGACGACAATCGCGGTGCAGAAAGAAGTCTCGGGAATAACTCTGATTCATCCGAGATTGAAAGGAAACTACGCGAAAGCGTTTAATGACAACAAATTTTTTGGCAAGAATAAAATGATTGGCGGTTATGCGAATAATCTTTAGAAACATGTGGGATTATGAGAGAAAAAAAAACAAAATGACTCTCTTATTCTTAAAAAAACTCGAAATGATATTACCACTGGATCGACATATCATCATCTTCATCTTCACTCTCATTATCAACCATCATTTTTATGAAGTAAAAAAAAATAGAAAAGAACCAAAAGCACTGATACCATGTAGAAATTTGCAGAATGATGTCTTTATTCATAATCAGAATAACATATAAATAGATGAAAGTCTTACATTGAATAAATAAACTAAATAAAATAATAAATATTTCTAAATATATATTTTCTGGATTTGATAAGATTGATATATCTCGTAATATTATTCAAGATCCGGTATATCTCAACAGTTTCAATCCCCTACCATTTTTTTTATTCGTTCTCGTATATTAATTATTTTAATCATGGTCGCGTATTCATATATAGTTTCTGATATGTTAAATTGGTAATTTGTTCATCTGTTTGAATATCGGAAAAATTTACCCAACTTGTGATAGTAGTTGAGTGGTAGGCGTTTGAGGTGGCCGAATCGCAAAACTGTCGTTAAGTATTAAAGGTGGCCGGTTTGACTCCAAAAATGGAGATGAGATGTGCAATTTAATTGCGGTACACAAATTACTTTCGGATCGTGGGAGATGTAATCGATGCTAAGATTCGGTGAACTTTCTAGTTATAAAAAAAATATCAAACAAAATTGGTTATTAAAAAAACGTAGGAACACGAATTTAGTTACAAGTTCAAAACTTTATCATATGAAATTGTGTAATGAAAAATAAATAAACAATAATAATAATAATAACTATTATCCGTAAAGCAAAACACGGCCAATGTGTATTCATAAGTTTGGATCGTCTGTCATGGACATTTACATCATATTGGGAAATTTTTGTCGGAAAGAACAAAAACGAAATAGTTTTTTAAAAAATTTCAGTTGAAAAATAAAAAGAAAAAAGAGAATAAAATAAGACAAAGAAAAAGGTTGAAATTCCATTTAATTTGTTTCTGCTACAAAAGAGACTGAAAATGGATACAGAGGAATCATATTAATCATTGGAGAAAATGTTTGGTAGGCCGAGTGGAATGTTGTGTCCACCACCTCATCTCTCTCATCGTGCAACTTCTCTTTAGCCATTTCTATTTACCTTTTTTTTTAAAATATTAAATTTATAAACAACACGGATTTCGCGGCTATATTTTGCTTTTGAATCGAGAATGGCGAAAGGCCGTGAACGGACTAGCGGGTGGAAAGAGATAAAAACGCAGTTAACGCAAGAGTCGACGGGTGCGATCATACCAGCACTAATGCACCGGATCCCATCAGAACTCCGCAGTCAAGTGTGCTTAGGCGAGAGTAGTTCTAGGATGGGTGACCTCCTGGGAAGTCCTCGTGTTGCGCTCCTTTTTCTTTTCCTTTTGTCGTCGCATCTCGTTTCGATGTTCTGTCCGCACGAGGTTTGTTACCTCCAAATAATTCTTATTTTTTTTTGTAATATTTAATTGATATTTTTTATATTTCCCACCTCATTCCGGGTTAACGGAGACGATAACCGTTGTCTTGTTTGATGAATTCCAATGCAGTACCGTGTTGCGCCATTTTTTCCACCGGATCTCGTTCCGATGTTCGTTTGTTCAGCATGTGTTTGTTTTGTTGTTGTTTGTTCTAGGAGGAAATGGTACGAGAACCAAACCGTTGAGAAAAAACCGGAGAACACAGATTTCGCGGCTATATTTTGCTTTTGAGTCGAGAATGGCGAAAGGCCGTGAACGGACTAGCGGGTGGGAAGAGGTAAAAATGCAGTGAACGCAAGAATCGACGGGTGAGTGCGATCATATCAGCACTAATGCACCGGATCCCATTAGAACTCCGAAGTTAAGCGTGTTTGGGCGAGAGTAGTACTAGGATGGGTGACCTTCTGGGCGGTCCTCGTGTTGCATCCCTTTTTCTTTTCCTTTTGTCGTCGCATCTCGTTTCGATGTTCTGTCCGCACAAGGTTTGTTACCTCCAAATAATTCTTACTTTTTTTGTAATATTTGATTGATGTTTTTTATATTTCACACCTCATTCCGGGTTAACGGAGACGATAACCGTTGTCTTGTTCGATGAACTCCAATGCAGTACCGTGTTGCGCCATTTTTTCCACCGGATCTCGTTCCGATGTTCGATTGTTCAGCATGGGTTTGTTTTGTTGTTGTTTGTTCTAGGAGGAAATGGTACGAGAACCAAACCGTTGAGAAAAAACCGGAGAACACGGATTTCGCGGCTATATTTTGCTTTTGAGTCGAAAATGGCGAAATTTCCCACCTCATTCCGGGTTAACGGAGACGATAACCGTTGTCTTGTTTGATGAATTCCAATGCAGTACCGTGTTGCGCCATTTTTTACATCGGAACGAGATCCGGTGGAAAAAATGGCGCAACACGGTACTGCATTGGAGTTCATCGAACAAGACAACGGTTATCGTCTCCGTTAACCCGGAATGAGGTGTGAAATATAAAAAACATCAATCAAATATTACAAAAAAAGTAAGAATTATTTGGAGGTAACAAACCTTGTGCGGACAGAACATCGAAACGAGATGCGACGACAAAAGGAAAAGAAAAAAGGGTGCAACACGAGGACTTCCCAGGAGATCACCCATCCTAGTACTACTCTCGCCCAAGCACGCTTAACTGCGGAGTTCTGATGGGATCCGGTGCATTAGTGCTGGTATGATCGCACCAGTCGACTCTTGCATTCACTGCATTTTTATCTCTTTCCACCCGCTAGTCCGTTCACGGCCTTTCGCCATTCTCGACTCAAAAGCAAAATATAGCCGCGAAATCCGTGTTCTCCGGTTTTTTCTCAACGGTTTGGTTCTCGTACCATTTCCTCCTAGAACAAACAACAACAAAACAAACCCATGCTGAACAAACGAACATCGGAACGAGATCCGGTGGAAAAAATGGCGCAACACGGTACTGCATTGGAGTTCATCAAACAAGACAACGGTTATCGTCTCCGTTAACCCGGAATGAGGTGTGAAATATAAAAAACATCAATCAAATATTACAAAAAAAGTAAGAATT